TATATATATATATATATACCAGTACTAGCTACTAGGAAGAAAAGAAAGAAAGAAAGAAAAGAGAAAACAGAGAAAGTGATAAATACAGTGTAATGAAAAAAGGAAGATAAAGATAGAGTAATTGTAAAAATTAAGGTGTACAAAATAAGAAATGTAAAATTAATATTAGTATGAGAAAATAATTCTATAAGAATAATCTTAAAAATAATTATATCATTGAATGTATAGATTAAGAATGACAATAAGAGAGTAGAAGCGAACAATAGTTTCGTACTATTATTTGTCTTGTATCGCGAGTATCACAAAATTTATATATAAATTTGTAGATATTCACAATTATGCATGAATATTTGTTAAAATATAAAATTTTAAATAAAATTAAAAGTAAATATTTTTAAACATACATTTATACTTAAAAAAGATATAGTAATTATATAACATATACTTATACTAAAAATGAATATATTATTAGTACAATTTACTTATGTAATTAAGAATTTTTAAGTAATTACAAAGTACTTATATATTATTACTCGTGTCTCTCTACTAATATACGGATACATATTAAACTATTCATTTATTATCCAGCACATATTTTACTTACAAGTACCTGCTTCTTCTTCTTTTTTTCCAATCCTAATATTGATCAACTTTAAATTCTTTTATTAAATTCCTAATATTTTCTCAAATATGGAATTCTTTCATTTTGATCAGTAGGCTCGAATTTAATTTTTTCTCCAATAAAAAGTGTAACAAAAAAAAATCTTAAAACCAATTATAATTGGGCTCAACAACGTATAGTACATATATGAAAATTCAAATTTCTCTCTTTCTCTCTATAAAGTTGTTATAGCATATATCTTTAGAAAATATAGAGTTATGTGCAATCTTACATTCTTACAAATAAATCAAGTAGTTTCAATATAATTTATTTACTTTTTATTTAACGAGCCTAGATCATTTTCATTTGTAATTCTTAATTTTAATTTGTGTCAATATAAAATATTTTTATTGATAAGAATTATAATAACAACAAAGTTCAAATTTAAAATTTTATGCATATTATTACAATTACTAGACTGATCTTAATGATTTAAAAATAAAATACTTTAGAGTAAATATCCACTTCAATTTATTCACTTTCTTAAAAAAATCATTCAACTCTTTTTTTTTTTTTAAGTTATCAAATAGATTTTTCAATATTACAAATGTGACACATTTTTTTAGTTCTTAATTCACTATTTTTTTTTCATGTACTAAGTTGGTATGCATCTAGTCTTTAGCGATTGAATATTATAATTTATTTAAAGATTAAAGTGTTTGATAAAAAAAAGACGCCGGAAGACCATAATAAAAAAATTGTTTATATTTATAATTTTGAGTGACTATTTAATGATTTTTTTTAGGGGTTAAATCAAGTAAAAAGAACAATTAATGTTTATTCAAAACTTTTTTTTTTCCACGTACGCCAACTTATAACCCGTTAGCAATAGTCGAAAATACAATGAAAAATTAAAACCGGCACAAGTATAATAAACAAATTATTAAAATTGGGTAATTTTGAAAAATATCAATAAAGCAGGGCTATATATATTATGGATCCAAGATCTTTATACCCCGAAATGAATGTTATTTATTGTAGAAACAGTGACGAACTTGAGTATGGATCGATGGAACGATCGCTCAGGATCCAATTGTCAGAAGAACACAAAAAAAAATATTTAGTTTATATAATATAAAAAAAAATATATAATTAAATTATTAAAAATTTATTAAAAAATAAATTAATTAGAAACAATAAATCAATAATCAATTTTTTCACTACTCAACAAAAATCTACTAATAATTTTAGAAATTTCAATCAATAATATTATATATAAAAAAGAAAGTCTAATATCTTATTAACTTTTTTCTTTTTTTTTTTGTATGTACTTTCATAAATGTTGTTGTAAATCATAAATAGAAGTTATCTTTAATTTTCTCCTTTCTCTTTATTTATAATTTTTTTTCTATTTTTTAAATCATAATGTATTTTACTCCATTAAAATCTTGAAATCAAATTATTAACATTTATTTGTCTATTCCAAGATTATTTATAATGTGTCATTATTAATTTATCTTACTTCATTAAAACTTTAAACAAATTATATGAATCTCCACCTTTTTGTTATAAGTCTTTTTAATGATACATCATCATTATTGATTATTTTTCTGTTATATAATAGTTTTTTATTTCGTCCATTAAAAAAACTGGGGGCAGACCCTGCTGTCTACAACGTTCATATTTTTTTTTTGATAAGCAAAAGAGATTAATATTAAAAGGAGTACAAGGGGTACTCCAACCCGTTACAAGAGATACAGATACAAAATTAGTCTAAAATCTAGAATAGAAACTATAAGAAATACAATGTTGGGTTATTATACCAAGTTGAGTAACTAAAAGAACAAACAGGGATAGAACAATTTATCCACTTCCATGAACGCAATTTAATATTATCCAACACTTCCTTGGCATCTATAGTACCTTGCTGAAAGATAATAACATTTCGATGAAGCCATAGGGACCAAATGACAGAAACCCAGACTAGAATGTTTTTCATATATGCCATACAACGTTCATAATTACTTGTTACACTATATCCGTTATTTTGGTTTTGGGCAGCATATACTATATATCTGGTGTTAAAGTGCACCGTTTAATACTTTGACCTCATTAATTGATGGAAGGAAAATTTAAATGAGCTAATTTGTTAATTAGATATAACTGATGGTTGGTTGGGTGGTGCATGTATATTCTTCCCATTTTGCATTGGGCAATAAATTAAAGAAGCTACTACCGGTGCACGCATCATACATGCAATGTGAAGAAACAGGTGCAAAGGTTATCGAAAGACACAACCATCGTGGTGACCACGTACGAGGGTATTCACAATCACCCATGTGAAAAGCTCATGGAAACCCTAACACCACTTCTCAAGCAAATGCAGTTTCTCTCTAGGTTAGGTTCAACTAATAACGCTGCTCCTTCTTCTCTGCTATAGCTACATGCATGCAACCTGCATGTTTGCATCATGTAACTCTATGTATCAACTTCACCTATATTTACGCTCTTAATTTGCTTTCTACTTAATTAATTATTGTAACTGAGATGTATACAATATATGTCACAGCTGGTCCATTTGACAGTGCAAATTTCTGTATGAATCTATATAATTTTATTATAATAATTTTCAAAGATAAGTTATGTAATCCCATTATGTCATGATGTTTTGATGCATCTGGTAAAATTTATGATCACCTACTGTATGGCGACACATATGCAATAATTGAAAATAAAATAAAATAAAATACTAGAAAGAATGGATTTAAGTAAACAATTTAATAATATTCATTCAGTTATAAAACTTATCGTATAAGAATTTTTTCATGAAGTTAATAGTAATATTTATTGAATAATTTTAAAAGTTATAATATTATAAATTAAATACTTTCATAATTTCAATAATAAACTTCATTAAAGCTCTCCTATATGTTGACCCCAAGTGAAATTTTTTTCTTTAACACAAAAGCTACAAGTTTGTCACGTATTTCGTTTTAAAATTTATTTTATTGCTTATAAAAAAATGAATTAATTAACTATTACTGTTTTCTTTGACATATAAAGGTATAATTTCTGGTTTTTTCTGCACCGTCGTATGCGGGTGATGATCATTGACAAAAGGAGGTGACGTGCGACACGTGTCATCACGTGTCGTAACGGAGGGAGGCGAGGGGACACACGTGTCAGAAGCAGCATCCTCGTATTGGCAAAGGTTTCCTATAAATGTGTTTGTAATTGTATGCATTTGAGTGTTGTATTGTGTTAAGTGTGTCGTTAAAAAGATGTCGCAGTTCCTGGATAAGGCAAAGACTTATGTGACGGAGAAGATAAATGACATGGCCAAGCCTGAGGCGCGTGTCACCGACGTGGACTTCAAGCGTGTGAGCAAAGACAATATCGACTACTTGGCCAAAGTCGCTGTTCGTAACCCTTATTCAACTCCAATACCCATCTGCGAGATCAACTACTCTTTCAAAAGCGCATCCAGGTACCCTTAATTACAACTTCTCTTCATTTCTTCTTGTTCAATTTTCCAAAACAAAAATAATCTATTTTTTGAGAATTTCAAATATTAATTTCATAGCAGTTTTATTCAGAATAAAGGTTCATAAACTTGGTGTTTTTGTGTTGGGTGGTGAAGGGAGATAGCATCAGGGACAATTCCAGACCCAGGATCTTTGAAGGCAAAGGACACGACAATGGTGGATGTGCCTGTTAAGGTTCCATACAGCATATTAATAAGCTTAGCAAAGGATATTGGTGCTGATTGGGACATAGACTATCAATTGGATCTGGGTCTCATTATTGATGTTCCTGTAATTGGCAACTTCACCATTCCTCTCTCTCACAATGGAGAGCTCAAGCTACCAACCCTATCTAACATGTTCGCCTAGTCGCACCACAATGCTTAGAGGGAAATATATAAATAATAAATGGCATTGTACACTCTGTGATGTGTTTTCCTTAAATTAATAAATAATAAATTTCAACCTTTTGCATGTTCTACTTTTTGTTATTTTTGTATGCTCTAAAACTATGCATGGCTTTGTAATAGTAGTATTCGTCGCCACAGTGTATGTTTGGATAATATATAGTTTATAGTGTATGTCTGGTATATGTTAATTTTGTTTGGATATATATATTTCGATGAAAAAATAAATAAAAACTTGAGTTTAAAACTCTCAAACGCACCCATGGTTGTGAAGAACATGTTTAGTGGGAACGTCGTCTTTCTTTATAGAATTTAAATTATATGAATTATATAAAATTTCCAAAAACTTATATGAGTTTAAAATTCTCAAAACACACCCATAGTTGTGAAGAACATGTTTAGTGTAGGAACGTCGTCTTTCTTTATAGTATTTAAATTATATGAATTATATAAAATTTTTTGAAAAAGTAATTACCGTGGACAATAATTTCCAGTAAGACCTACAATTTCCAATATGTTTATATTTTAATGAAATGGAAAATTTGAGATTAAAATTAAGGATTTTTAATTTATTTTTCACAATAATAAACGTAAAAAAAAAAAATTATGAGTAGCAGTATATATTTGGTCAGATATTTCTTCACCAAATAAATTTTAAAAGTAGAAAGCTACATATCAAAGAAAATAATGTATAGTTAGATTGGACTGTTTTTATTGATTTTTATGTTAAACATATTGACTTTGATATATAATATTACAAAGTAAAATCTATAACCTATTCAAAAAGAATTAACCTACATATATAGTAAGCTACCTATTTAAACGTATTGATCTTGGTACATAATGTTAGAACGTAAAATGTATAACATGAAAAACAAAGGGGATGTAGCTCAGATGGTAGAGCGCTCGCTTAGCATGCGAGAGGTACGGGGATCGATACCCCGCATCTCCATCTTGTTTTGCCATATTGCTTTTTCCTCTTTATATGGAACTATGTAACTAGTAATTTGCCAATTCACTCCATAAAAAGATTATCATATTCTTTTAATTACAAGCATACATCGAAGCGATGTGTGAAAATTGAAAAGAAAAATTACCATTCATGGTGCATCAATTTTAAAATCTATTATTAGTGCTTTAGAATTTGGTTTAAATATTTGATCAAATCATAAGTGTATGTTGATGCAAATCATAGTGCCTTTATTATATGTTTGGTTTGACAGAAATGACGAAATAAAATGAGGACAAAAAAATATGAAATGCATTAAAAGTAAGATGAATAGAGAAGGGATTTTAGTACATTTTTATTCCGACACTTTTATGTTTTATCTCTCATCATAAAAAGGAAGAGAAAAAAATTCTTCCTACTTATAATTTTATTCAAATAGATGTGTGGTATTTGAATAGATGACATTTTATTTGAATAAATTATTCAGATGTGATTTGTATCATGTGATTTATTTTATTAGTTTGATTTATTCTACTGAGATTTGTTTGTAATTTTATTATTAATTATAATTTTTTTCATTCATTTAAATTAAATAATTTTATAATATTATTTTCTCAAATTAAACAATTTTATTTCTTATCTATTTTTTATTATTTTATTTCTCTCTCTTTTATTTCTCTCAATTTTATCTATCATCTATTTCTCTCCTTACAATCAAACATATTTTTACGGTTTACACAATAAATTTTATTTTGCACAGATTAAATGGTTTAGAAAACAAAAAATAAAAAGACGATTTTCCTAAGTTGGAGCAGAACACAAAATAGTGATGACGATTGATGACAAAATTGGAAAGTAGTTGATGAATTAGAATCGCGTTTCGCCTTCTCTTCCCTGCAACTGCGCAATGGCGTGTTTGTTGAGAGCGAGAAACCTTTCATTTTCGGTGGCGAGGCGCGTTCGGTGCATGAGCAACGTACCCGAGAACAGCGTGTATTCGGGGCCCAAATCGCAGAACCCGAACCAGCGAGTGACGCTCAGCCACTTGAGGCAGAAGCACCGGGCCTCCCAGCCCATCACCATGGTCACCGCCTACGACTACCCCGCCGCCGTGCACCTCGACACTGCTGCCATCGACATCTGCCTCGTCGGCGACTCCGCCGCCATGGTGGTTCACGGCCATGACACCACTCTCCCCATCACGCTCGACGAGATGCTCGTCCACTGCCGCGCCGTCGCGCGTGGAGCCAAAACGCCCCTTCTCATCGGGGACTTGCCTTTTGGCACCTACGAATCCGGTTCCAATCAGGTCATCCTCATGCATTTTTGCGTTTAGTTGTTTCACTCATTCTGCAATGCGTTTTAAGTGTTGGCCTTTTTATTCCAGTAAATTACACTAATTTTCCTGCATTTCGTGTTTCTCAGATTTCATGGTAACCTCTGTTTTTTTTAATGTTACCCTGATTTTTAACGTTTAAGGATGTCACTATCATTTTTTCAAACAACTTAAGAGAGTTATTATAAGCGTAAAGAAAAGTTTTATTTGCAATTTTGTGAATTTCAAGGGATGATGGTGTAATTTATTTTTTTGAATTTAAGCAGGCGGTGGATACAGCAGTTCGAATTTTGAAAGAAGGGGGAATGGATGCCATAAAATTGGAAGGAGGGTCTCCTTCGAGAATTTTTGCAGCAAAGGCTATTGTTGAAGCTGGAATAGCTGTAATGGGCCATGTAGGCCTTACTCCCCAGGCCATTAGTGTTTTGGGGGGGTTTAGACCTCAAGGAAAGAATGTTGCTAGCGCTGTCAAGGTGTGTGTCTTGATGCACCTATTAGGTGTTTAATCCATTTTATTGTTGTCTTTTAACTGAAGTTAATGAGTTTGTGTAGGTTGTAGAGACCGCATTGGCTTTGCAAGAAGCAGGGTGCTTTGCTGTTGTTCTGGAATGTGTGCCTGCACCTGTTGCCGCCGCAGCAACAGCAGCCCTTCAAATTCCTACAATTGGAATTGGGGCTGGACCCTTTTGCAGTGGACAGGTCAGTTGGCCTGATTGCTCTTTTGGCTAAAGGATGAGTGCGGCCTACACCGGTGGCAGTGGCACCAATTTTGTACCGCTAAATATGCATGATCATTGTTTTATTTGTTTCATCAAATTGTTGTTTTGGACTTTCTGTTTCGTGATTAATTGTTTCTCTTGAATGATATTGCCACTTTTATATGTATGTGTGTAGAAATTATTGAGTTTTGAGAATATTTTAAGATTGATCTTGAGTCTCTTTAGTCTTTACTGCTTATAGCAAGGGATGGAATTCTAATGTGGTTACCCCTTAGTCATTATTCAGATAATTGAACAAAGCATTGCTTGTGAGTTTCAATTCTACTTTACACTTGTTCTTCTGGTGAAGAGACGAAAGAAATCTTTTCTAGGTAAAGCTTAAAGCAGAAGATTTCTAATTTAGTTTCATTGTTCGTGCAGGTTCTGGTTTACCATGATCTGCTTGGTATGCTTCAACACCCCCACCATGCAAAGGTATTTGTAGCATACCTTAACCTTGTTCTTCTTTCAAACATCATAGGATTCATTGCTAATTTTGAGGTGACGTATCTTTTTCAGGTTACTCCAAAATTTTGTAAGCAGTATGCGCATGTAGGAAATGTGATCAATAAAGCCTTACTGGAGTATAAGGAAGATGTGGCGAATGGTTCGTTTCCTGATGCTCTCCATAGTCCATACAAAATCAGCAGAACAGATGCAGATGTTTTTTCAAATGAGTTGCAAAGATTAGGTTTGGACAAGGCAGCATCTGCAGCATCTGAAGCAGTTCAGAAGATGGTTACAACCAAATAAATTGATGAAGGAAACAAAAAAAATGGTAATTTAGTATAGCTATAGGATCACCCTTCTTTTCTCGGTTGACGATCGTTCTTCGTTTTCTTCCGTGGCAGAACAAAATGAAGTTACTTAATTTAATAGAAGTTGAGTAGTTAACTTATGATAGACGGATACCATTTTTTTTAGGGAACATTATTTAAATTTTATTTACTTTTTTTTTTTTTTTTTTTTTTTT